GATAAGATGGCAAATGAATTGGATTGGACAAGATTGGATTGGATTGGCAGATAGGATTGGATGGATTGAAGATGGGTCGGATAATACAAGATGGATTGGATTGGGCAAGATGGATTGGATGAGACTGGATTGGATAAGACAGACCGCCGCAGGAACCGAAAAATTGAATTACGAAATCAGCGACATGCGTTAGCGCCGGGGACATCCGGGACACCGCCTGGCCCAATTGGGACACCTACGGCCCATGCAAAGTAAACAAGCAATCAAGCCATGCATCATGAAAACGCATAGGCGAAGAGATGACTAAAAAATTATGATGGTACGGAAAACGCGTCCTGGAGACGATGCTGCGACGCAACGGCATCCTTTCATACTACCGCCCACGGGCGGACGGGAAACGGATTGTCGTTCCAACTGCCATCCGTGATGCCCGGGACACCGCCTGGCCCAATTGGGACCTTCCCCAACCACCAGCGGACAGGAACGGACTTTCGTTCTTGTTTCGGCCTAGCTACAGGAGGATCACGCGCAGCTTCGCCTTGCACGCACGACGCGAATACGAAACCGAAACCGATTTCCCGGCAAGGGGTCTTTGTTTCCTTGCGATTTCAACCCCCAACCTCCGATAAAGAATTACGGGTTGCAGTGCGATGCGTGTGTCTCGAAGCAGATTGGCTTCGAGGTTGGCGCGTGGTTTTGCGCGTCGTCAACTCAGCAGCACAGCGTTATCTGAATTTCAAAGATGGCCGGTATCATAACTTCCGTAATTTAACTGAAGAATTTGAAATATTCGAGCGTACGACAAAATGTCGGTGCAACTGTGCGCATCCCAAGGAAAATCAACGTCATCACTGACGCCGGCACCTGGACCACATTTTTGCAGCTAACTGGAACCAAGATCCGTTTAGAGGTTGCGTGCTCTGGAAAAAACGATGCAGCATATTTTGCGCAAGTATGGCCCTTTCCTTTGGGACCTGCTCTCCGATCTCGAAAGGACGCACGTCGCAAACATACACTTTTGGTATCACCCCGCGAAGTCTGCATTCAAATTTCTGTAACAAGGCGCACTGTTTGGGCGCATCCGCTTCGAGCTCTAATTTCTCACGCGATCAAATGTTTCACTGAGGCGGTTGCCAAAGAAGTTTTTCTATTGGTGCCAGAAAATGCGGGTGCTGTTTGGTTTCGCACTGGAATTTTTTAGAAATTGAAGAACAAGTATTATAGACAGCACATTCGGATTTGTTCTGTATTAAACAAGTTTAACGCGCACACATAAAATGTAATTTGGTTCGCCCGCCCTCCGAGCCAGAGGGTCTTTTTGCGTAGGCATCCTAGCGGTGGCGGGTTGCACTGCTCAATCCCGGGATATTGCATCTCAATCGGTTTGATAATCCTTTCTATAGATAATGCAATTGGATTTCGGACCTTATATTTTTTATTTCTAACCCAAAATAAATAACAATATTTTATGGACACGGCCTTGAAGATATCCCCTCCTTATATCTTGCCGTAGCATGAAAAAAAATATCGTTCCAATCAAAATTCGTTCAAGTTCGGCGGGTTATTTCCTCGTTCAATTCCTGCACAAGTTGCCGAGGGTGGTCTCACACGGGAACGAGATTCCCTGGTTAATCACATCAAAAAAACACACGAAATATACCTCAAACTTTGGGCACAACCTCGAAACCGATACGTTTGAGTATATTGGCTGTTCCGTTTTTTCCCCAACTAGCTAATCTCAAGTATTGATATTTACTTTCTTTAATGTTGAGAATAACTTCAATACTAAACCATATATATATATAATATATATATATATATATATCTATGTTCCACATCAAAAAAACCACAACGCAACCGTCTTCTTGGACAAACGCAGGTTCTATTTACATATGTTCGATGTAGTTATCTGGGAACCTAGAACATTCGCCAATACAACGCGAATTCAATACCAAAGCGTCGGCGGATAGATATTACATCACGTGGCTGTGTAGGTTTATCTCATATTTGACATACGAACCATCCGGATGCAAAATGCCAAGATTCACCTTGCATGACGAACTGGATTTTTCTCATTCCATCCCAACGAATCGTCAAAGACACTTCGCTTGTGCAACCCACATTTCAAAACAAGATGATCCCAATTCGTCTAGTTAGCTAGATCCTGCAGGGACTTGCACTTGCACTTGCACCTTGCCCAGCGGCAGATCCTTGAAGAAGTGGCTCGGTCGTAGCACCGTACCACAGCAATCTCACACCTACTTGAGAAATGGGAAGTTCAATTTCATGCGAACTTCGCTCGGTTCTCCGCCAATTCCTCGCCGAGAATTCGTGGTCTCTTCAGAGAGCGCCCCGCCCGCTTTCCAAGCGAATGGTGCGATTTGTGCCAAGCCTGGAACCACGTAGTTCGAGTATGAGTGACGCATGGGCGTTGCATCCATTTGATTACAAACCACAGATATTTAATATAGGCAATATCTCTGTCCCTGGCGGTAGCCAAGCGTGGATCTCACACAAAACCGGGCGCAAGGCGAGCATAACAATACAAACATACGTCGTTTCGTTCCCATTTATCTCCCTGCAAACATTGTATGGGCTGTCTGATTACATCCATCATGTGAACTGACTTTGTTCGGCGTACAGTTACCGTGTCAGAGGTACCAAACCGTGGAAAACAAGCGCAACTAACAATCGTCCGAATATCCATGCAGGATTGACGTGGTTCAACGCTCCAACCACATCAATGTCCAATCGATTTTTGTGGGTGCGTGTCAAGTGAAGTAAGGTGTTGCAGCAGGTGTGGATAGCAATACTCGTGCCACTGTGATGAATGGGGTGCGATTATTTGCTGGAGGCCCTTTGAAATTATACGGTCAACATGTTGGATACCAATCGTTGCAGTGTGTAGCCCGCTGCGATCCCTGAAATTACTGACGCTTCGCGTACCCACACCAACCCATCCAAAAACGATGCCCATGATAGCACAAGCTGATCGGGGGAAAGAGGAAGAGACACGCACAGTCAAACAACGAGGGATGCCGGCCTGGACGGCGTGTTGGGGTCACCTCCGGGCAGACAGACAGAGACACAGACAGAGACAGAGACAGACAGAGACAGAGACAGAGACAGACACAGCCACACAGGCACAAACACAGACACAGACGCAAACACAGACGCAGACAAAGACACACAGACACACAGACACACAAACACACAGACACACACACAACGCACACAACGCACACACGCACGCACGCACACACGCACGCACGCGCGCACACACACACATAGACACACACACACGCACACACACACACGCACGCACGCACGCACGCACGCACGCACGCACGCACGCACGCACGCACGCGCGCGCGCGCACGCACGCACGCACGCGCGCACGCGCGCACGCGCGCACGCGCGCACGCGCGCACGCGCGCACGCACGCACGCACGCACGCACGCACTCGCACGCACTCGCGCGCGCTCGCACGCACTCGCACGCACTCACACGCACTCACAGGCACTCACAGGCACTCACAGGCACTCACTCACACTCACTCACAGCACTCACACGCACTCACATGCACTCACACACAAGCACACACACACCCACGCACGCGTATGCGCACGCGCACGCGCACGCGAACGCACACGCACACAACACACACAACACACAACACACAACACACACTACACACAACACACACTACACACACACACACGCACGCACGCGCACGCGCACGCGCACGCGCACGCCCACGCGCACGCGCACGCACACGCACACGCGCACGCGCACGCGCACGCGCACGCGCACGCGCACGCGCACGCACACGCACACGCACACACGCACACGCACACGCACACGCACACGCACACCCACACGCACACATTCACACACATTCACACACATTCACACACATTCACGCACATTCACACACATGCACACACATTCGCACACATTCATACACAACCGCACACAATCGCACACATTCACACATCCACATACATTCACGCACATTCACACACATCCACACACACCCACACACATCCACACACATTCACACATTCACACTTCACACATCTTCACACACATTCACACACATTCACACACACATTCACACACCCACACCCACACCCACACCCACACCCACACCCACACCCACAAATCGCCAGTTGCTTTTTGGGTGCGCCATTTCGCCATTGTCTTGCTGCGCCAGGGACCCGCAACCCCCCAAATCCTACGTTCCACGATTGGTTGTGCCGTCTGCACATTTGAGGGGGCCCTTACAGCACTCGCTGTTGACAGAAGAGCACTTGGATGCGGCACACCAGCGAATCGCGAACAACACTGCTCTCGAATCAAGCAGACCGTACATAGGATTGTACTCTCACTGGTGATCCCCACGAACAAACATATGCTGTTAAGGCTACCGTCACTTCGCCAGTCTTCCGGATCTGGGCGATCCGTTCTGGCTGGGGCAACAGCAGGCCCCATCCGAACTTTTCCCAATTTTTCCAGCATCCCCACAGACGAGCGTCCGCTTAGCAGTGGACCCGCCGCGCGAGCATGAGCAGGGAGAGGTAAGGGATCACGGAAACTGGCCCGCAGGAACAATCCCGAGCCGCACGGTGCCCCTGAGCCCAAAGACCCGTCAGGGCCGGACGCCACAAGAAGCGCTCCAGCACCCCCGAGATGCTGAACCAGGATTTCAGCCAGGCAGAGCGGGAGAGACAGAGAGAAGAGAAAGAAGAGACAAGAGAGAAGACATAACACGGTACGTGCCGAATGATGGATGAGAGACTGAATAAGGGGCGAAGATAGGGGGATAGGCATAGGAGGGGGTGCATCGACCCCGATCGCCAATTGATCGCCGATAGGGGTCTGATAGTCCCACGCAGCCCAGGAACGTGCACACTTGGTACCGATTCCAGGTCGATGTTTCCCCTCCTATGCCAGTCCCTCCCTATCGTTGCCCCTCACTGAAGCGCTGGCCTGGCGCCTCAGGACTCCCGGGGTAGGAACTGGACGCCAACCGGCCTCCGGGCCGCCCCCGCTCGCGGTGCTTGCGTCTCTGTGGAGGGGGGAGGGGGTGGGGGGGAGGGCAGGGAAGGGGAGAGGGGAGGGGGGACGGCGAGGGTGACGAGGGTGAGTGGGTGCAGTCGAATCCAGGACAGTAGAACGCCCTGCCAGAACACGAGACCCTCCGTCGCCAAAAAAAATAATAGAACATCCCAGGGTGCCCTCCCCAGGAGGCACAAGAGCATCCCATGACCACGAAGAGCATGAGGTTACCCTCCCCGAACCGACCTCCATCTTTACCCCGATTCGACTGTAAGCCGCTGCAGGGAGGAGCGTCTCGCGAAGCGCGAGACGCACACCCCAGGATGAGGCGGGCCAGAGCGGCCAACTTGCAGGCTCGAAGGGCAACGATTGGCGGCGAGCGAGGGGGGGAAATGAGAAGGGGTGGGCCTTCTCAGAAGGCTCGAAGTCCCCCGGCCTTCTGAGAAGTTCTATGAACCTTCCCCGAAGAAACACAGGCCTGGCGAAGGGCCCAACCATAAGCAGTGGTACGTACCGCAATTGTGAATACCATCTTCGGTGGATCCTCCTATGCGGCCACGACACGTTTGAGGGGTGTGCCAAAGTGACCCGTCGGCGGCAGGCGGCCTTTTCCACTGGGGCTTTCGGTGGAGCTCCCTATGGGGCCACGAAACGTGTATCGGGTGTGCCGAAATGGCGAGGTAGCGGCATGCGGGCCCTGGCACTGGAGCCTTCGGTGGAGCTCCCTATAGGGGCCACGAAACGTGTGAGGGGTGTGCCGAAATGGAGAGGTGGAGACGCATGCGAACGTAGCCACTGGGGCCTTCGGAGGAGCTCCCTGTGGGGCCACGAAGCGTGTGACGGGTGCCCCGAGATGGCGAGGCGGCGGCATGTGGGCCTTGGCACTGGGGCCTTCGGTGGAGCTCCCTACGTAGAGGTCAAAAAATCCACCCCCATAGTAACCACCCCGACACGCGAAGTCGTTTAGTAAAAGAGCCCAAAGAAGGAATCGAAAAGGGCAAGGCTGTTTAGCAACCGTCCAAGGTCGTTTAGTAAACGCTAATTGTCCGGTCAATGTGTTTTTTCCTCCCTTTACTACGTGGCTACGAAACGTGTGAGGGGTGTGCCGAAACGGCGAGATGGAGACGCATGCGAACGCAGCCACTGGGGCCTCCGGTGGAGCTCCCTGTGGGGCCACGAAACGTGTGACGGGTGTGCCGAAATGGCGAGGTGGCGGCATGCGGGCCCTGGCACTGGGGCCTTCGGTGGAGCTCCCTATGGGGCTACGAAACGTGTGAGAGGTGTGCCGAAACAGAGACATGCGGAGGGCAAAGGCAAGTAGGGGGAGGAGGGAGGAGGCGGAGGAGGAGGAGGTGAGGAAGGAACGCGGGGCGCTGTCTCTTCAAAACGAAGACCCAACAACACAGGATGGTTGGGAGAAGAACTTCTTAGAAGGCGCGAGGACCTTCTCATTCTCACTTCCCCCCCTCGCTCGTCGCCGAAACTAGGTCGATCCATCAACGGGTCACGGCCGACGAAGCTCGAGCCAAACAAACGGTCCTGGTTTTGAAGAGACAGCGCGCAGCGTCCTCCTCCTCCTCCTCCTCCTCCTCCTCTTCCTCCTCCCTCCCCTCCTCCCTCCTCCTCCCCCTCACCCTCGTCCTCCTCCTCCTCCTCCTCCTCCTCCTCCTCCTCCTCCTCCTCCTCCTCCTCCTCCTCCTCCTCCTCCTCCTCCTCCTCCTCCTCCTCCCTCTTCCCATCCCTGCCTCTTCGGCACACCCCTCACACGTTTCGTGGCCGCATAGGGAGCTCCACTGAAGGCCCCAGCGGCTGCGTTCGCATGCGGTTCCACAGCCATTTCGGCACACCCTTCATACGTTTCGTGGCCCCATAGGGAGCTCCATCGAAGGCCCCAGCGGCTGCGTTCGCATGCGGTTCCACCGCCCCTTTCGCACACCCCTCACACGTTTCGTGGCCCCATAAGGCGCCCAGCCGAAAGCCCCAGTGGCAGCGTTCGCATGCGGTTCCACCGCCATTCCGGCACGCCTCTCACACGTTTCGTGGCCCCATAGGAAGCTCCATCGAAGGTCCCAGTGGCTGCGTTCGCATGCGGTTCCATCCCCATGTCGGCGCATCCCTCACACTTGTGGCCCTATAGGGAGCTCCACCGAAGGCCCTTGCGGCTGCGTTCGCATGCGGTTCGACCCCCATTTCGGCGCACCTCCCACACTTGTCGTGGCTCCCATAGGGGGCTCCACCGAAGGCCCCAGTGGCTGCGTTCGCATGCGGTTAGGCTCAAATTTCGGCGCACACCTCACAGAGCTCCAACGAAGGACCCAACGGATGCGTTCGCATTCGGTTCCACCTCAATGTCGGCACACCCCTCACACGTTTCGAGGCCCCATAGGGAGCTCAGCCGAAGGCCCCAGTGGCTGCGTTCGCATGCGGTTAGACTCAAATTTCGGCACACACCTCACAGAGCTCCAACGGAGGCCCCAACGGCTGCGTTCGCGTTCGGTTCCACCCCTATGTCGGCACACCCCTCACACGTTTCGAGGCCCCATAGGGAGCTCAGCCGAAGGCCCCAGTGGCTGCGTTCGCATGCGGGTCCTGGCAATGGGTTGTTTGGCGAAGCTCTTTATTCCCCAATCAGAGCTTGCCTCTATAAAGGTCCTAGCAGATTCATATGCTTAGGTGAGGTACGTCACGGATTTCCGCGGCCCGCCCGGGTGTCTGGGTGCCTTATAGCCCTATAGCCCTACAGCCCATAGCCCCGTAGCCCTATAACCCTATAGCCCTATAGCCCTATAGCCCTACAGCCCTATAGCCTTATGACCTTATAACCCTATAGCCCTATAGCCCTATAGCCCTATAGCCCTGTAGCCCTGTAGCCCTGAAGCCCTGTAGCCCCATTGCCTTATAGCCCTATAGCCCAATAGCCCAATCGCCGTATAGCTGTATATGGCTATAGCCCTATAGCTCTGTAGCCCTGCTGCCCTATAGCCCTGTAGGCATGCAGCCCTATGGCCCTATAGCCCCAGAGCCCCATGGCACTAACGCCCCACAGCCCTATGGCCCTATGGCCCTATAGCCCACCTATAGCCCTAGCCCTAGAACCCCATAGCCCTCAAACGATTCGGATTGGGGATCTTCCCCGGCATCACGCGGCCACGAAGCGTGCGAGGGGCGCGCCGAAATTGCAAAACGTGGCGGCGTGCGGGCCCTGGTGCCCTGGGGCCGCTGGTGGAGCTCCCATAGGAGGCCACGGCGCGCTGTAAATGGGTGTGCCGAAACGGGGGCACGCGCAGGGCAGAGGCAGGGATGGGGGGAGGAGGGAGGAGGGGGAGGAGGGGGAGGGGAAGGAACGCGGGGCGCTGTCTCTTCAGCAAAAAAGGAGGACAGAGAGGCGGGGGCGTATGGGCGGTGCAGGGCGTGGAGGTCGAAGCACGTGCGCGCGCAGAGGAGGAAGGGGAGCGGGAAGGACGTGGCTGGGACGGGGAAGGGGGAAGAGGCCAAGGAGGAAGTTGGGAGGTTGAAGCTGGCAACGGGGCGGCGGTAGGAAACCACAGGCGAGCTAGCCTGCCCCTTCCAGCACGATCCTGGGAAGGGGGGGGGGGGCCAGGACACTGGTAGTGGTTCACAACTCCAGCCAGCCCTCTGGGCATGGGCGGTTTAGAGCGATTCTTCTTAAAGACAAAGTCTTCATATTGGGAGAGGGGTTCTCCTCCCCCTCCCCCTGCCTTCGGGTCGGGACCAGGGTGTAGCGACGCGTTGAAGCAGCCAAGATGGCCCCAGACGGTCTCAGTATGCTTCCAAGAGGCTCCAAGATTGTCCTTCGACGGTTCCAAAAACACACTGAGCCTCATGAGGATACCACCGATACGGCAAAATCCCTCAAATCCAACAGTTGCTCAATGAATTGGTGCTTATCGCCTTTTTGCATCAGACGGACGTTTGGGAACTCAAGGTGGCTTCAAGATGACCCAAGAGATCCCAAAGAAGGGCCCAGAAGAGCTTCAAAGCGGCCCCAAGAGCGTTCCAAGATGGCCCAGCCCAAGAGGCTTTGTGTCGGGTTCCAACGGGGGTGGGCTAATTGGTGCCGCCTCATTCATTCAAAACAAACAGCATTTGTATACATAAGCACTTTGAAGGATCTGGAGCTTTCGGACGCATCCTTGGGAGGCTTTGGGGCCAAGATGGCTCCAACATGCCCCAGACGTCGTAAGACAGTCTGCATGATGGCACAAGATGGTCCAAATTGACTCAAGATAGCCTCCAACATGCCTCCAGAAGACACCAAGACGCCCCAGACTGCTCTCCAAGTTGCATCGGAACCCCCGAATGTTCCTGAAAACGCAACGTCCTCCAAAACTGAATGTCTTCAACTGATGTTGGTCTTCTCGGCTTTTCAGTTCCAGTGGGTTTCGGAGGCCTCAGTATGGCACCAATAGGGCCCCAAGAGAGGCCCAGAGGCGCTCAACGACAGCCCTAAGGGCGCATCAAGAGGGCTCCAGGAGGCGATGCTTCGGGCTCCGACGGAGAGCAATGAATGCTGCCTCCATTTTACGATGTCTTCCAAGACGGCTCAAGGAGGACTACCAAAGTCCCTACAGGGCTTCAAGGCAGCCCCAAGGGAGCCCCGAGAGCGCCCCGAGAGAGCCCCATAAGGCGTCTCAAATGGCCACAAGAGGGCCTCAAGATGGTCCAAAAAAGGTCCCAGGAGGTCGAAATGTCCGCGAAGGCATTTATGGTTGAGGAGGAGGAAGAGGAAGAGGAGGAGGAGGAGGAGGAGCCTGATCCCGAACTTCGGCTTGACGGCGGGTTGCTCCTACCCTCCCCGATCAAGACGCAGCTCGCCTGGGCATCATCTCTGATGGCCTGGTGGGATACGCGAACTATGATGGGCCTGTTTTCCACCACACCACCACCACCATAGCTTGGAGGGGGGAAGGAGGTGGAGGACGAGGAGGAGGACGAAGTGGAGGAGGAGGTGGAGG